TCTCTCTTCTTTCTATCACTTAAACCTTTCTTTTTTTTCTAATGCCAACTCTACAGCCTACTTTGTTCAAGTCGCATCTTGTTACCTTCCGTACTGTCCTTAAATCTGTGTTACACCATGTAAAGAGCCATGTCGGTCTCGGTATAGTATGTGGGGTGGCTTATTTTGATCCGTATGCGTTCAATCACCTTACCCAAAAACACGAATAGTCTAATACTTACCAAAATCTTCTGAACTAAACAGAGGAAACTGGAGGTGACCTTCCTTCTCCTTTGTCAAGCCACCTACACTTAGCTCCTATTAGCGTTGATCTTCAGGCAGGTGCCAATTTTGGCTACAGACCGATGCTATTTGTGCTTCTTCTTTCCGGACTGGGCGCGATGGTATTGCAAGTAAGTCACGGTAACGACTATGTGATTCTTCCACTGCCCTGACCTTTATTCGCCCTCAGACTTTAGCATGCAAACTGGGATGTGTTACAGGAATAGGTGAGACCTTAGCTCAAAGAGCCGCGAGTATTCATATGACCCTGAAAGATTTGGCTTCTCATTGTCGGCTGCTCCTTCATGACCATCCCACACACCCTCGTTTTGTGCGACGCATGATCTTGTATCCTCTATATATATGCGCGGAAGTTGCCATTATTTCAACAGACTTGGCAGAGGTTCTTGGTTCGGCGATTGGAATTTGTTTGATTTTCCCCAGTCTTCCTCTGTGGACTGGGGTTGTCCTGACAGCCTTGGATGTTTTTGTCTTTCTTCTGTTTTCCGATCCGTCCAGGGGACAAGGCAAGCCAGTCAGAGTATTTGAATTGATTATAATGACCCTGGTGAGTCACCTTCAATCCGAACTTCCTGAAATTACATTCAGTTGGACCGCTAGGTCTTTGCTGTCTTTGCATGTTTCACTGTTCTGCTCATCCGAGTCCATCCACATTGGAGCAGTGTTTTCATGGGATATATTCCAGATAAGAATCTGTTCCAAAGTCATCCAAATGCTCTTTATGCCGGTATGGACATCATAGAACTTTTCCAAAAGTGGTGAATTAGAATTAATATAGCGGTCGGCATTCTTGGGGCAACAATTATGCCTCATGCGCTTTTCTTGGGATCTTCCCTTGCTACTCAAGACCGGGAGGCCTCTCATCCAGCGACAACTTTGAATCTTCCAGAACCCTCAAATCGTAGAAAGCTCACAAGACGTTTGAAAATATATGCTGTCGATCTTTTTCGTATAACCCCTGCCGAGCGTGCAGCAGCGGCCAAGGACTACAGGTCCAGATATGGTGTTCGAGAGAATAATCCGTTCTTGTTCATCAAGCAACACCTAGTCCATATTGTCATCGACGTATGTTCCAGTATACTCGTTCTCGCCATCCCCATTAATTCTGCGTGAGTGAAGAATCATTTGGATAATCCGAATCTACTTTACTAACCCTCGGGATTAGGATTCTTATCCTTTCTGCTACTGTCTTCTTCAACCAATCAACATCAGAGGACATGCAAGGAGTATCCATTGGTTTGTTCGACGCGCATGCGCTTATACATGCCCGTATCGGATCAGGTATATTTCGCCGCATGCGCAGCATTTCGTTACTAATCTTCCAACTCAGGTTCGGCTTTTCTATTTGCACTGGCACTTGTAGCTGCAGGGCAATCCTCAAGTATCACCGCAACACTTGCTGGGCAAGTAGTCGGAGAAGGTTTTATTGAATGGAGAGTTTCAGTATGCCACAACTTGCTTTTCTCAGCTCAGTCCAGGAACTCATGCAGAGCTTTTCAAGCCATTTCTGCGACGGCTTTTGACACGTTCAATCAGCCTTGTTCCATCAGTAGTCGTGGCTGTTGCCGTCGGACGCAATGGCATCGATAATTTGCTTGTCATCTCTCAGGTCGTTTTGTCTGTGGTGCTTCCTTTTGTGGCCTTTCCTCTGATCTACTTGACGTCTTCCGAGACGGTGATGAGGGTGCGGAAGCCTCCGCCATCTGCGGAGACGATTATTCTGGAAAACACATCTATTCACACAAGTGAAATAGTTGCAGCTAGTGCTTCGGAACCCTCGCTGCGTGGTAGCATCCAAGAAGTGGAGATCGAGGAATTATCTCGCGATCCAAGTGGCAAGCCGACACAAAAATCTGAAATCGAGGAAATCTCCAATGCTATCTCAATCAATGACATAGAATACATCGACTACAGTAATAGTCGACTTTTGTCTGCGTGTGCGTACTTGATTTGGGCTGTAATTTTGATCACGAATGTATATACCATGGTCGCACTTGGACTAGGCGATACATGACTTATTGTATGTTTAAACTGGATTTTGGGCATCAATATTTGTATTGTAATTGTATTGTATTTTATTTATTATGCCGGTCGGACTCGGGATTCTTTCGTGCTAAGACCGATTTCAGTCGTTGCCCCAATCGAATCATTTCCAAGGTGAGTTTTGGAACTACAGTAAAGCTGATCGAGAGAGAGTACGTTGATGGCGTTTTCCTTAGTTCTGGTCGAGGAATTAGCTACACCTAAATGAATTTTTTTAAAGTTTAAACAGTACTTACTGTAGGTGGAGGATCAGAAAATCCTTAATTCTAACAGTCGATCTTACCAGGACACACGGGTGAACGGTGTGAATGGGGTGTGATTTGAAGATCCAAAACTCAATTGAAGTATAATGTCAGTTGACGCGAATAAATCATCTAATAGTGCGTACTGTCGCTTACATGGGACAATAAGAAAGCTGTTACCAAGTCAATAATGTCCAGTTTCTCGTTCAGCGCTGTTTCTTGCTTCGAACTCACATGGAAGGGGGGGAGGGGGTGGTTCATTGGCTCGTATGTCCAATATAATTGAGACTTTACCAGTGCCAGTCATCACAATTTTGATTCTCGTTGAGGATGATTGGGTAACCTTTTGGCGTTACAAGTATTCGCTCGCCATTCAAAGCCTCATGCTGCGACCTAATTGGTCAAACCAATAATCATTATCAATGTCAATAAATTTGTTTCACAGATATACAAAGAAACCAAGACCTGGTATGGATACAGCGACAAGATATATATAAAATTTATCAAACTAGAGCAGGCAAACCAGTACGAAAAGAGGAAAGAGTGAGGCAAACGCATACTTCGAGACGACAGGACGAGACTAGAACAATATAAAAAAACGGTGAGTACATGGATGGTGTATGTTCGGATATATATGAGGAGAGGTTGTTGATCGTAATCGTCGCTGGGCCAAGAAGAAAAATAAGCAGAACAAAACTAGAAGTTTACAAATCCACTTCAAGGCGGTACGATATACGATACAACGAATGACGCTCGGCGTGCCAAGTCCCGTGAGGTGAACATACGTTAAAGACAGAGCAGATTGCACATAATGAAGCCGGAAAATATGTTACAGGACGGGCTTGCCAAACGAGATCGGGTCTTCTGCCAAACAGCTATTATACAAAGTGAGCAAAATCTGAAGGGGGGATGGAATAATTGACATACGCGAGGAGAAAATCCTGGACAAGTTGGTAATCGGAGACAAGGATTACTTGACTTGATTGCCACAATCGCAAGAGACGCGACCGCCGACAGAACTCTTCCCACAGTTATCGCACCAGTTGCGTCGTCCTTTGTCAACCCCAATTGACTTCTTCGAAGACGCAGAATGAGTAGAAGAACAAACGGATCCGTCGCGGTGGATACTGATTAGATGACGACCAAGATCATGCTTGCGGCTGAAGGAACGCCCGCACGCCCGATGAGGACAGACATGAGGTTTCGGCCTGTCTGGGTCGTGTGTAGCCAGATGTGTTTTCAAATTGTAGGCTCGGGCAAACGCTAACAGATAAAATGTCGGTAGGGGAAAAAAAATAAGTTGAAACCAACATACCACGAGGACACACGTTGCATCTATATTTTTTGTGAGGGTCCCCTTTGAACTCCTCTGAAGGAACCAGAGGTATAGAGGGGACAACTGGTAGCTGGGATGTGACTGGTGCAGGGGACATGGCGACACCATAATTAGCCAATTGATTGTAGTAATCATTTGACACTGAACTACGAGTAGGACCGTAGTCAGAGAAACTGCTTCGGGGGACATAAGGCTTCGCAGCAACCTGACCGCGGTTAACAGGACTGCGAGGAGGGGTCGGAGACAAAGAATTATTAAATGCAGTGGTTGGATCCACACTGTCCATTCCATTTAGATTTAGAGTTTGCGCATGGGCGCTCGTGAATGGATCGACGGCAATGCGCTGAAAGTCCATCTCAAAATCAAGAGGAAAGGAGTACTGGGAAATGGAATAAGGAGAAAAGCTGTAGACAGATTCAGAGTGTGTAGAAAGAGAATCGTAAGTGGATTCGGAAGAGGCAGTCAAGGTTGACGGTGGACCACAGGTAGGGTTGTCGGAGCGTAGGAACTGGAAAGCATTATTATTTTCTACCGTTAAGAGCTCGAAGTTAATGTCCTCAAGCCCGGCAAGTGCATCAAGATCGGACTCGAATTCATCTGGCAAGGGAGCTAGCGGGTCCGCAGAAGCATGGTACGAGAAGTCAAAAGCCTGGTGGTATTGTTGCTGTTGTTGGCGTTTAGACAAGTCATATTGACTTGAAGCAGGAGTATAAGTGGCATGGTCTGAGGACATTATGAAGTCCTTGATAGATGAACCGATTGGTGTTTGTTGTGCGGTATGGGAGGACTAACAGCTATTAGAGGGGTGTGGAAAGCTGTAGACTTCAAATGGAGTTTTTGCAGTTTCCGCAGCGGCGAGTTCTCACGACATTTAGATCTGATCAATCTCTTTTATATGTTAATATCTTGGGCGCTCGGCCGCCGGAATTTTATTTATATCCCCGCCTCGATCAAAACCGGGAGCAGCCGATGATGCCGAACTCTAAGCTTTTGATCTGGACTTTGAAAAGCTGTTGAATAACGTACAAATAAATTATAATCTTACAAAGCATGTAAAGATTTAGGGTAAAAATGAATTTAAAATAAATTCCTATAATAGCCCACCGCGAGGGTCGAACTCGCAGCCTTCAGATCAAGATCAGCGTCTTAAAAGTCTGACGCTCTATCCGATTGAGCTAGGCGGGCTCATTGATACAAAACTTACGTACACATACATTGGACTTGCTGCTTGTGTCAACAAAGTACACTAATTTTTACAAAAAAAAAAACTACACGACAATCATACGCCCACTCTGAAATCAAATCAGAATCAGACGTTGCTTATAGTAAACAGAAAACAACTTACCGATGAACAACCTTCTTCTGATTCGAAAATCTTATAATCTCCCTCTTTTCCATAATGAAGAGCGTTCGCTCCAACGCATGCCTTGAGCACCCCTGCTGTGTCACAAACTCCTTTACAAGACTCTGATAACTTGTACTCCAACCCACAGGTAACCTTCTTCTCATCTCCTTTTCAATCCGTGTCATCTCTTCGTTCAATTCTCCACGAGACATACCATCCGCCGAACCAGCAGACACCGCGTCCATAGTGGAGAATTTGAACAACCGAATAGCTTCTTCAACGTGGTGATTTTGAACTACCGGCGAGAGGGTCATCTTTGCTAAAGACTCGGAGATTCGAATGATGGCCTCGAGTTGACTAGTAGCGTGCGGTCAGGATAAGGAAGCCTTAGCTAGGGTTGAAATGTGGCACTTACCGGACGGTGATAGGAATCGAACTTCGTTCATCGTTATCCTGTTCGACTTGCTGAACTTGCTTCCGGAGACTCACAAAGTGACTACTCAGCATTTCCTGTGCGTCAGGGGTTAACCGAGGAGCGCATTTGCTAATTTCATTTAGCCCCCAAGCTCGTACAACAAACACACAAAATACCCACATACCTCTTACAATAAGCAATGTAGCGCTTCATCTTTTCTAGTGGAATTTCATCCGTTCCCCCCTCTATCGAATCACTGGTGGGTCGGTTCATATGAAGATTCATGACATGTCTTGCAATCGTCTGAGTAAGGCCTCGGTCAATTCGTACACGTCTACCATAAGGGAAAAAAAACCCGCACCTTATCACGAGCCTCATCGTGCTCGTCTCGGACGATAAAAATCATGTCGAAACGTGACAAGATAGTTGTTTGGAAATCGATGTTCTGCGAACAAAGAAAAAGAGAAACTCAGAAAGATTCACAAGCAGGTGTCGATGACAAAGGACAAACCTCGCCAGGACTTCGTCCTTCATCATATCTCCCAAACACAGGATTAGCTGCAGCTAATACACTAGTGCGCGAGTTCAGAACAGTCGTAATACCAGCCTTCGCTATAGAGATAGTTTGCTGTTCCATGGCCTCGTGAATGGCTACTCGATCTTCATCGCGCATCTTGTCGAATTCGTCAATGCAAACGACGCCGGTGTCAGCCAATACCATGGCACCTCCCTCGAGATAGAATTCACGCTAGAAACGACGGTATCTTGAGAGAAAGGTAATACTAGTACTTCAGGGCTCACGTACTGACGCGCTATCTCGTTGAACAGACGCCGTTAATCCAGCTGCACTAGAACCTTTACCGGAAGTATAAACGGCAATAGGCGCAACTTTCTCAACAAATTTAAGCAGTTGACTTTTCGCCGTACCGGGGTCCCCCAGCAACAGGACATTGATGTCACCTCGTAATCTCATTCCGTCAGGTAGTACTTTCTTCGATCCTCCAAACAAAAGACACGCAATGGCTTTCTTGATATCTGAAGGGCGTTGTCAGCATTCCTTCTCGGAGTCCGTATTGCAGACGATACCGACCAAGACTGCCATAGATACTAGGACCGACACTCTTTGCAAAGCGCTCATAGAATCCAGGGCTGCGAGCCATTTCACCAAACTCTTCTTCCTCTTCCGCACCAAATTGCACACCGAATGGATTTGAACCAGCAGACCCTCCACTAGCAGGTGAAGAGAGCTCCAAATGAACCACGCGTAGATAGGCTTTGTGTGTTGCCGCACTGTCCATTTTCTAGGGTACGCATCAGCCTCTTGTACACTATATATAGTTCAAAAATAACGTACGTTCTTTGACTGGAATGTTGAGTAGATTCCTGTAGCAATAATTCTTGAACCTGGTACCACTTTCCCAGTCAAATGTCTGTCTGCAGAAAGAAGCATATGCCGCGGCAGTTCTCCGACCGGGACCATGTCTGGAGCTTCTTGCAATTTCATTGTTTGCTGATCAGCGAACGTCGATCGTGTGTGGATGATTTGGTAGGGGTCTAATGGGCAATCCTTTTTGTCGCCATTTGGTGGAGAAGGTCCTTCACAGACACGAGGAAGTCCTCTGTCAGAGCCACTGCCCATGCCACCTAAGCCTCCCTGAGGAAAGATGTCCTTGATGTGATGGCAGTTGCGACATTCAAGGTGAAGTTTTGTCGCCCGCGATGACAGTACAGATGCAGCGATGACAATTCCCGGTACGCGGACGAGTTTATTCATGGTGTCGGCAGTAAGGGCACGGAATTGTAAGAGGTTAAGACTTGATTTGAGCGTGATTTGTACTTTAGGTATCGCTTCTTTGGCAGCTTCTGTGAGCTCCTCAGAGGTGCCGGATCTCGGAAAAAGAATTGAACGCGCAAGTCGCGCAGCGGCGCTTTCAAACTGAGGAGATATGAGAAATGGAAGTCTCGGACGCGATAGTAGACCCACCAGAGGTAATACATCAGCTGGTCTATCTTGTATCGCGTGAGCCAGCTCGTCGTTGTAGAGACTAACATGTCGAAGATCTACTTCAAGCAGATGCTGCCGCAAAAGCAAATTCGCGCGGAGTTTGTCTCTGCTCAATCCCATTAGCTCGTCGGACTACGCGTACAAAATCTCTTTTGCACCTGTATATGAATTCTCCACCCACTCGATATTGCTGAAGGAAATCTAGCAGCAGTTTCTCAGTCGCGGCAGGTGTATCGGGAACTGTAGCCGGAGCAGTATCAAGGACAGAGACGGAGTAGACATTGTCATTCTCGAACATTTTGAGATTGGGAGATTATAAAGGTTCTGTTCAAGAATCCTTGGCCTTGTGCCATTAGTGGCAGTGCCACTTTAGGGCAGGCGGATTGGTGGTGTCAGAATTCACTCCAAAAATCATGTTATTTAATTTAATTCTTTCCAGTTCTTCAGAATCATCGTCAACTAGATCTTTCACCCACTTAGATAAATGCCATGACTATGGTTTCAAGAGGTCCAACACACGCTTAGAAGAGTAAGGATTCCAAGTCTGCAGCGGAAACCAACCATTTCAACCAATACCACTGGACCTACGGTCAAACCAGAAATGGATCATCGATCCTCTCAAGTTCAAAGGCGCCTCGGTCTCTTCAACCTTATTTCTACGAAATATACCATACATAGCAATAAGTATCTATCGGCGGAACGGACTCAGTACATGGGTATGTACTAAACACAGAAATTTAGCAGGTGCCAGTCTCCGGATCCCTCGTCATGCTAATATTGTTGATCGGTAGCCCAACGAAACAGTGGGGTGAAACTATGTTGAAGTTTTGACGTCCTAACACCCAAGATCTACTACATTCTGTTTCGGGGGTTGCTTCTACGGCTACCCTTACGCATGCCTACCCGCCATCATCACGGTGCAAGGAACAGGCATATGACATCCTATTGGCGGAAACACTGAAGAGATCTCTTTTCCGCATGGTACCCAAGGCGAAAAACACGATCGGAACCTTTAAGGCAGACACTTACTAGGGGACATGCTGGGACATGCCTCCATCGTCCATTTACTTCTCCTCGTGCAAAAAATGCGGCCGCTGTCTGGAGACTTGCTCCTTCCTTTTTGTTGAATGTACTGACCAAACTTCAAACTTGAGCTGTCTAGACACTCACTCAAGAGCCATACTCATACGCAGCTTTGCGATGGTATAATGATCCTTTCATTTACCGTGCTTTTGTTATTCAATTGGATGAGAACAGATGAGGTTAGAGTTAGACGAGGTTCCGCTCTTTCTGTGGTTGTCCTTGGCATATTATTTCTTCCGAACTACATAGCGCAGCGCTTCAGCTCGACATTTTGATTCTAGATCAAATTGCCAGATTCATACACCGGGGCCATCTGGTACTATGTATGCTAGTCGGTACTATGTATGCTAGTCAAAAGATAGGAAGAAAAACACTATAGTAAGCCTTAGCGGAAACTTCGGGACGTATGGCGTCACTACTGAGTCACGTGGCGATTGATCCACTCAATCGCCAACATCCAACTTCACAATGAGCGCAATGGATACTGATAACGATGAGATATCGGTTGTTCTACCTTCGACAACAACTTCTGGTCTCTCCATAGCACTGTAAGCTCAGCTCGGTTTGCTTGGGGCTTAGTGTCCCTCACGATTCCGATAGACATCCACTTCCTATCCTCAATATCTCGGAACATTTCATCAGGCTAAAACTACAAAAACAAAAACCCTTACCACTCAGTAGGTCTACTTAAAGCTACGACGAACGAGTATTAACTGCTGTCTCAGCTCTCGGCGCGCTTCTGGGAACCCAGAACGGACGAGAAGTCGAAATCGTCAACACTTTTGAATTGGCTTTGGAAGGCGATGGAGAGGCGATTGACCATTCTTTCCTGGTGAATAGACGGGATCAGTGTGTGTGTAATTCCTCAATGAACGTAGGCCTCCACTCACCTTTTTTGTTCAGATAAACAAGTCTTTCCATCTTTAGAATTCATTGGATGGTACACAGTGGCACCAATACCTACTTCACGCCACATTGGACTGCATTCACAAGTATTCATCTTGCATTTCTACTTCCCTGATTTCAATGTATTGACTAGGTCGTCTAGTTCACCGGTTATTGCTCTACGCCACTTTTGCTGATCCTACAGCCAACCGCAAACCTTGTTGGAAGCGCTGATGGAACCAGGCAAAATCTCCCTTTCAAAGCGTACGAGCAGACGATCGAGATAAAAGATCGGACATCGCGTTCAGTTTTTGTTGAGGCTTCCTACAACGTCGAAACTGGAGAAGCAGAGCGTATCGCCGTTGATTGGACTGCCAAGGGTGGAGGAAGTGGGACAAGTCGTGCGTGTTATTCGTCTTGATTTTGTGAGTCCGGATTCACCCCTAGCACCT